GATGCTTGTGCTAGACGCAGAGAGTTTGTCCTGGCTCTGAGAGTTTTCCCTCTTTTCAGAGCTTGATTTCGGATCAATCTCTGATGTTTTCTCAGTATGTGGAAATGGATTTGTTTTGGCAGATCCTTGAGGTATCATTACACCCTTGTTCTTGCTATCTCACCATCAACATTTGGATCTCTCTGAAATGATATTTGATATCCAATAAGAATAATTAATTTCCCGGCACGTTGAATCAAAGGGGTTTTCTCCTTCCAGAAAATTAACTCGCATGAGTGACGGGAAGCATATTGAGGCTTGAAAAGACCCTCTGATTGGTTTGTTTTGGCCTGGTTCCCTTTCCAAACCAATTTTCCCATCCATACTAGGCTTACTGCGGTAGTCTGTGTTGACGGTGTTACCGGTGTTATGCGCAACATGGTTACATCACTGCACACCTTTACATCAAGGTGTATGCCGTGCCTCCAAGCTTTCTTATTCATTTTGCTAATAAATGTTCTATGTTTGTTATTTTATTTTTTTTACATATATTTAAACTTTGTGCAAGTTATTTATTTATATTAGGCCTATAGCATGGTGTATTTTTATTCGGTTTGTTAACAAAATTTCTATGTTTAATATAAGTGAGTTGTCCATCTTGTTGTTGTCCATTCAAACAATTGACGCCAAATTGACGCTAATTCGCACAGGTATTTATAAGTAGGCCTGGGCGATAAAACGGTATCGATATTTATCAACGGTACACCTTTTTTGATAACGATATAAAAAATTGTTCGATATAGTGCAGGATATAGGCACGTGCTATGCTAACACGAACACATGCTGAATTGAGTGCTGTGCCTGCCTGTAATGAGGAGATTGTGAATAAAAAATTATAATATTAGTCGAATTTAAAATAAACATTTGCATTTGAATGTTAGGAGTGTGTCAGGGAGCGTCATCAGTGGCACACAAGTTGCGGTGATAATGATGTAAGTGACGTTGTTGCATTTTAATATTTTAGTAGTCTAGCCCACGAGATGCGCCGCTGCTGTGTTATGCATTCAAAATATTAGAGAAATATAGAAGCTCAATGCGGAGAAGATCTTGATTAGGTGAAAACCGAAACCAAGCCATTCACACAGATGCATATTCAGCGCATTTAGAAGGACAAATATGACTGCTGCACTCGTGTCTCACACAAGAGATGTAGCCATGCAAAGTTAAAGCAGTTTAAACTTTTAGAAAACACGTCGCGAACTTGTAGAGGTTTATTCCTTTTCACTGCATCTCATATGTTTTTAAATGCAATTTCCGTGATGGGCGATTCGGCTCTTTGTATTAAGCAATGCGTAAATACATGATGCTGTTTTGTTCATAATTGTTTATGCAATTTACGAAATTATATTTGATTTATGAGTTAATTTAGACGTAATGCACGTTTTTTTTATAGACAGTTATTTCCCTGCGTTGACGTGCTGCATTATTTTGCTCATTGCGCCCTCCTGTGGCCTCGGGAGACAAGCCAAAAGTTTCCTTAAGTCCTATTTAATCGACATATAAAACATTAGAAATTAGATATTTGTTTAATTTGTATTGTGTGTTTGACTGTTAAAACAAAAAAAATATTAGTTGTTTGTCTCAATAAATTGGGTTAATTTAAAAATACAGTGGTTAAATAAATAAAAAATTCTATTGCTCTTTTTTTAAAAAGGTTATAAAAAATGTCAATAATTATCGATACCGAACGATATGAAATATTATATCGTTGATACATGTTTTAGCTATATCGCCCAGCCCTATTTATCAGCCATTTAAAAGCAAAGGAAAGCAAGGAAAAGATGGAAAACCCCAACAAACCCCACCCCACGGTGATACCGGTATTACCGGTGTTATCACACATCGATTACCCGGTGGAAAAATTTCCTCACCATCACAACCCTAATCCATACTAATCTTTGACTCATGCAGGTATCCCGATATCCATCTAACCTCCTTCTCCAAGTGTTTCTGTTTTCATCTGAGCCTTCAGAAAAATGCCATTTCCTGTTTCCGTGATGTAGTTGTTGTATAACCTTGTGTTTTGGGTCATTGTTATGTTGAATTACCGATGATTGTTTGAGTTATTACAGCTTGACATTCTGCTGTGGAGTTTTGTGGTATGTAGTGTTTTTCTCTAAACATAACAGCATGTACTTTTCACCAGAAAGTTCAACTTTTGTCCTCTCCTTTCACACAGCATCGCTGTGGTGGTGTTTTTTAATATCTTGGTGGTCTTCTGCAAGTTGTAAGATGGACAGCAGTATGTTGTTCTTGTCTTCTGTAACCTCCTGTGAGTAACTTCCTGTGCCATGCTTTGCTTGGATCTTGGTGCATCGGTGAATTATCAAGAGATAAGAGATCCAGCAGATCCTTTGAGAGAAGCTTGAGCACTCAGATTGTCTCTGATCCCCAAAAAACTTTGTAAATGAAGAGTATGACTGGAAGATCCTCTAGTGGGACTCAGTCTCAGCATGTTTGTATGTTCTCTGAAGACTCCATGACATGCCCTTGCATTGATCTTTGTAGGACACTTACTCCTAGGGAGTAGTAAGTGTTTTGAAATGTTTAAAGTTCTGCACTCATAAAGTTCAGTTCTGAGTTATTATAGTTCCATTCGGAAAGTTTTCCTGTCCATCCTCTTCTTTTTTTTTTTTTGCCAGTAGAACCTGAAATGACTTTTGGTCTGGAAGGTTATTTATAAAGTGTTACCATTTTTATTGATAAATTGTTCCCCTTTTAACTTAATAATAATAATAATAACAAATTATTATTAGTAGTAATTTATAATTATTTATTATTTATTTTCAATGCATTACTACTACTACTATTATTATTATTATTATTATTATTTTATTTAACTTAAAGTTGAACTTACGGACCATTTTGTATGAAAACAATAATTTGAAAATGAAAATTTTGGTGAATAACATTTAAAATTATAGTCTGTGCCTCATGCAGAATCATGTCATATGACAAGTCCATATGTATCATATCTTTTAAAAAAAAAAATTCTGGTAATTTTTGAAGTGTGACTGTCATTGACTTGACGACTTTCATTTTTGGGGGAACCATTTCTTTAAATAAGGTTTCAGTTTTAAATCATGCGTGTAAAAAAAAATCCAGTTTATTCAAAACGGTTCACAAACAAATTTTCCTAACTGTAAGCTGACTCTCAATATGGATTGTTGTTGATGGAGATTAATTACCTCAGTGATGTGTTTTCCCTCTCCTCTCCATCTCCAGATCCAGATCTCTAAAAACTTGATTGTCAAGCCTGAATTTCACAGTATCTATCAGCTTGGTCACATGGGTGGTTGTTTATTTACAAGAGCGCTCTCTGTCTCCTCTTTTCACCCTGTAATATCTGTCTGTGTGGAAAACGGAGAAGGAGACTTCATGTTCCGTTACCTGATAAAATCTCGCCAAAGCTAGTCGAGTTCAAAGAGGCTCGTGTAGCCAGCGCTCTCCGCGGGACACTTTGTACCGCTGCGTGTGCATTTGAGACATCTCACTCGGCTCTGGGCAAGCCTCTGGTAAAAACCTGAAATAGTCTGATCTGAGGTCAGACTTCAAACATGTTTGCTTTCTGTCAGTGACCCTGGCGCACACCTTAGAGCCGCCACTTCTGATCAGGTGTCAGACCCGACTGCAAAGCTGCCCAGGAAAGTTGGAGAACAAAAACCTGAAGAGCATTACCAGTGCATTTTTTCCTTCCTTTCTCCATCTATGTCTTGACTTCTCACTCGCCCTCTTTAGCCTTTCCTTTGAGCGCATCTTAAAGTGTCAAATAAAGCTTCAGTCTTGTGTTCACTAGCTCAGGGACTCACTTAGTTGTTTTATGGAGCCTGCGAGTTCTCTGTTCTTGACCTAACATGCCATTTTGTCCAGTTGGATTATCTAATAATATGCCATGATGAAAATATATTTTGCCACAAATTGTAATGTTGCTATAGACACACATGCAATTCAAAGTAAACGGCATGAGCTGTTTGCATTAGGGATGCTCCGATCAGGATTTTTGCAGCCAATACGGAGTACCGATTTCTTGTCATGATGATCGGCCGATACTGATACCGATTCTGATGCTTCAAGCTTTATATAGACTGTTTCATCGGGCGCATGCGCCTGGCCCGAAGTTTACTTCCGGTCTGTGTTTGTTTATCAGTCTGGCTATGGCGCCGGCTACAAACGCAGTTACAGTAAAGGTGGTGAGTAGACTGAAGTTGGGCTCAGGTGGTTGTGCTGTGGGATGTGTTTCCCATACATTTATTTATTTGTGGCGCTCGCCACAATATAAAAACTGTCCGATTTTCCAAAAGGCTTAGTTGAATAAACATGAGCACGTACTGCACGTTTAAAAATCAAAACGAGGCGTGGGTGTTTTTATATCACTGTATTTCTGAAGGAAGAACATTTTCGATGTCATTTTGGGGAAACCGCAAACATGCCGCGGCTGGCTGATAAACACAAGCATTAGAGCGGCCGCCATCAGCTCCGGTTCCCGTGGAGCCGTAACGCGCCGCAGACGTGTGCAGTGAGGCGCAGATCAGCTCTAGCGTCACTGAATCTGCTGTTAAAAATGAACCATTCATCATATCATCATGCAAAACATACACGACAAATAGCAAATTTTTCATTGTTTCTCGAAACGTCATAGCATTTCCACACCGGCGATGACATGACTGCGGCGCCACATCATTTACGTCCCCACGCATCATGTACATCGTCACGCGTTGACGTCATCAAATTGCGATCGGTTCGTGAGATCGGCCAAGTGTAGTGAGTACCGATCGAGTCATAAAATGTGATTATCGGCCGATACCGATCTCCGGCCGATCGATCGGAGCATCGTTGCATTGATGTAATTTAACCCACACTGATGAGAGGATGACAGATTTGTACCATGCTTGAAGTGCTGATATGGTATGTAATGATTTACAGCTGTTTTTAATTTCTTCTCTCTCTTTGTCAATCTGAAGGTATGGAGTGACTCCGGAAAACATCATCCTGTATGGGCAGAGCATAGGGACGGTGCCGACGGTGGACCTGGCGGCCCGGTACGAGTGCGCGGCAGTGATCCTCCACTCTCCCCTCATGTCCGGCTTGCGTGTGGCCTTTCCCGACACCCGCAAAACCTACTGTTTTGATGCCTTCCCGAGGTAAGATCCAAAAATCTGTGGACCAGAATGCATTGCATGTGAATGCAGACTCTTCTAGATGCACTACAGTGTTATTTTAGTATCATTGAGATGCTATTATAGTCTTTATTAATTTTTTTTTATTATTATTTTTTTATATATTTTCTGTTTTCATTTTAAGTTAAGTTGAAGTGTTAGTAATTTTGTTTTTATTTGCTTGTTTTTATAGTTTGTTTTATTTTAGTAGATCAAGTTGACCTAAATGAAAATTTGAGAAAATACTTTTTTATATTTAATTTTACATTTTAGTTTAGATAACAAATGTTTTTTATGGACTTAATTCTATCATTTATCTATCTTATCTATCTTATCTATCTATCTAATTTTGGATAATGCTTTTCAATGATCCATTTATTAGTAATGTAGTTAACTACAACTAACATTAACATACCATTCTATCATTACTGCATAAAATTAATTTCAGAATGTACTAATACATGATTAAAAACATAAGTTGCATCTATTCATATTACGTAATGGACTTGAGCTAACATGAATTAACAATGAACAATTATATTTTATTAACTAAAGTTAACAAATTTAATAAATACTGTAGCAAATGTATTTCTCATTGTTATTTAATGTTAGTTAATGCATTAACTAACATTAACTAATGGGACTGAATTAAGTTAACTAGTGCTACCAATGTTTAATGCTGTAAAAGTTTATTTCAAATAATTGCTTTTCTTTTGAATTTTCTTTTCATGAAACCTGAAAAATGTACGTTAACATATGTATTATGTATGTATTAAGCAGCACAACTGTTTTCATCATTGATAATAATCAGAAATATTTCTTGAGCAGCAAATCAGCATATTAGACTGATTTCTGAAGTATCATGTGACACAGAAGTAGGCATGGGACGATAACCGGTTTCAGGGTATACCGCGGTTTGGAAAAGTCACGGTTTCCAAACCACTAAAATTTCCCGTTATACCGTTCCTGCGGTATGCACAGTTTTTTTACGTGTCGTCAAAGACTGAAAGTGCAGGACTCCCTCAGTTGTGTGCAGCGTAGAGCGTAACGAGTCACACTCCCCCTCAGCCCCTCCGGTTGGTGCGAGCGGTCAGAGTCACCTGTGTGTGGGATGGCCGAAGGAGATGAATCCCTGGAACTTTTTCCCCCGTCAAAAAAGACGAAGTCTGTCGTATGGGAATTTTTCGGGCAACGTAGACTAACCATGTTCCGTACACAACGGTGTTCCGTACAGATGACGTTTTAGCTCCGATCGCTAAATAAATACTTCCAGGTCGAACATAAACTATATATCTGTGTCATGATTTAGTACAATAATTAAATTTAGCTGGTATCACTTCTATAATTTTAAGCCTCCTGCCATTGTTTACATCTGTTCAAAGTCACGACATTTAAAAAACAAACTGTTGTACGGAGAGACCGTGTGTGTGTGTGTGTGTGTGTGTGTGTGTGTGTCACACGCGCTCTCTCTCTTTGTGTGTGTGTGTGTGACACTTGCGCTCTCTCTTTCCTTATGTGTGTATGTGCACACATCCTCGTACTTCACCGTTCCAAACTTAATCCGGGAAAGGTGAACACATTCCTGCATCATAACTTGGACTGAAAGATGAATGTGTAGAAAGTGAGCATGTCTCCAAAAACCTTGTTGAGCTGCAGGTTTAATGACTGCATCTGTTTATTCATTTTTTTATTTTTGTTTTTACAGAAATTATGTTTTGATTATATTTTTGATTATTGAGCTGCAGGTTTAGGCTCACTTAAGTGACTGCATTTAATTAAGAAGAATTTAATTGTTTATTCTAATTATTTAGCCTGACATGTTTACTGTTCCAAAATGTTCTATATGTTTCTTAAAAATAAAATGTTTTTTTTTTTAAGTTTTTTTTTACCCAGACATTTAAAAATAACATATTTTAGAGATGTAATCGCAATACCGTGAAACTGTGATATTTTTATCTAAGGTTATCATACCGTCAGAATCTCATACCGGCCCATGCCTACACAGAAGACTGGAGTAATGATGCTGCAAATTCATATTTGATCACAGAAATAAATTACATATTAAAATATATTCAAATAGAAAACGGCTAATTTAATTGTATTAATATTTCTTAGTTTTTACATAGTTTTTACTATGTTTTTGATCAAAAATGCAGCCTTGGTGAGCATAAGAGACTTCTTTCAAAAACAAAAGCTTGCTGACCTTAAACGTTTGACCGATAGTGTGCATGATCTGAATTTTTATGCATCATTGTTCTCCATTTTTGTGTGCATTATGCTTAAGATGATCTATGAATGGGCTTCGGCTGGTTTGTTGGCATGTAGGATCAAACCACTAACAGCCTGAAGCTGTACACATACACTGCGGTACCCACCCAGCAGGAACTGCTAGCAGGAACATCAGGAAGCTCAGAATGGCCTCATCACTCATAAAACAGGAATCTGAACAAGTCGAGTCGACACAGAGAACCACAATTACATCCTGTAAACCTCATCTAGCCTTCATGCCAGCTTCTCTCAAGCTTTGTTCCCTTACCTCCTCTTTTCCATTTTAGCAGTTTATTTTCGCTTCTTTTGGAAACTACTAGAGTTTTATAAAGTGGGAAGTGACTTGTGTTTCACCACGCTGAGCTAGAAAGTGCTCAAAGTGAGCCATTTGCCTTCCTTTCAGGAGTTCAGGCGATGGCTTTCAAGTGTCTCACAGCTGTAGTCATTTGTTTTTTTTTGCTTGAAATTGAAAGTGGTTCTAGACGCCGAGTAATGAAATGAAAATTGAGGTTTGAATTTGGACAGCAGACATGATTTGCATATGTTTTTTGCATGTTTGGAGAATTGCCGGTATGCAAAATGTTATGGTTTTCATCTAGTTCTGCAACCTAGATGGTTTTAACAATGTTAGAAGTGTTAACAAAGGAGATTGATATACCGTTTATACTGTAGTATCTCTATATCTATATGGCTATCAGTGGACATGGTTAATATATTTATACCTTTATTTAATGTATTTTTAAATTTAAAAAGCAGTGGCACTACTAAATTGATCCTTTTCAGAAGTGTGACTTTAGTTCAGCTGTTTTTAAAATAGTCTTCACTTTTCAAGTAACAAGCCGTTTTTACAGCAATTAACACGCAGCTTTACTGCTCTCACATAGCGTTGGAAACGTTTGTTTTGGTTCATGTAAATGAACAGGTTTAAAACTGGTTTTAGGTTTATTTTTGTGTTGTGGAATATTTGTCAAATGCTGCTTTTCATCACTGTTGTATAAGCGAGGGTGTTATATTTAGTGTAAATGTATTCAAGTTTGAAGCTGTCAGCAGTCTTATTTTAGTATTATTTATGTACTGTTAAAGTATTTTGATTTAACTTTCATTTTTATACTTTCAGTTATATAAATTGTAGTTTTAGTAAGTTTGTGCTTTTCTATTTTTTATTTCTATATAGCTATCAAATCTATTCAATATTACAGTTTCAGTAAATTACGTATTTAAGCTTATTTCAGTTAGTTGCTAAGGCAATATTACAAATTTTTCCTAAAGTTACATTTTTCATACAATATTTGTATTTTTTTATTTATTTCAATTGCTGAAAATTATTTGTAATACTTCTAGTTTAACATTAACAACTCTGGCTGCCATGTATTTGATTTTTCATTTATTAAAAAAATAAATCCTTGTTTTTGTTACAGAAAAATAACACTCATAAAATTTAAATGATCAGGTTGTTTTGGATTGATTTTATAGGATATTTATAAGATAAATATGTTAGGAAACATTTCATAAGTATAATATATTGTAGATGTTGTTTTTTTTTTTTGTTAGTTTGTAGCTTACATCTTGGCAAGGTTTCCAAGTCGCTTTCCCAGACTTAATCGAGATACACACTTAGGGCTGGACAATAATTCAATATCAATATGTATAGCTATATAATTTTTTTCAATAACGGTGATATGATTTTTAAACACATTTCCGATATTTCGATATACATTACCAGTGTTTCCTACATTTATTTATTTGTGCTGTTTGACTTCGTTGAATAAACATGAGCACTGCACGTTTAAAAATCATAACACGGCGCGGGTGTTTTATATGAATGTATCTCTGAAGGGAATTGACTGTCTTCAGAAAAGTTTCGATGGCATTTTCATTTGATCTGATAAAGTAGCATTCATGAGCGGAGCTGCTTTGATTACAGCCATTACTGGAGAAACCGCTAGTTTTATCACTCTAAAAGCGCCTCCCGCTGGCAGAGAATTAGTTTTAATTTTAAATGAGCCCGTCTCCAGCAACATTTCCAGTTTTTGTGGTTGTTCAATTTTGATTGATTGATTGATTGAAAGAAAGAAAAATGTATACATTTTATTCAGCAAGGATGCATTAAAGTGATCAAAAAGTGACAGTAAAGACATTTATAATGTAACAAAACATTTTTAGCAAATAAATGCTGTTTTGAAATTTCTGTTCATAAAAGAATGCTGAAAAAAGAGGTTTGCCATAAATTACATTTTAAAATATATTCAAATAGAAAAGTTGTTTTCAATATTTCACACTGTTGCCGTTTTACTTTATTTGTGATCAAATTAATGCATCCTAGAGACTTCCAAAACATTAAAAATCTTACTGACCCCAAATCTTTAAACGCTATGTCATAGGCGGAGCGTGTGCTTAGCCTTCCCCTGGCCATGGGGACTTGGGGCAAAAATGCCACTAAATTGGACAAAAATGCCCATGCACAAACAAATTAAATCTATTACGTCTGTTGCTAAAAGAGTGAATATGAATAGACCGTTTCGATTGCGGCATTAAATTAAGATCTGCTCATGTTGCACCATATTTCATTTTAGGCGTTTTTACAGTGTTGCGCATTTTAACCAATCACACACAATTGTGTTGCGCTTAGGAATGCAATGGCCAATCAGAAGCGTTCAGATGAGTCATCGTTCAATCTCATCAGTTTTGTTGAGTGCGCGCTGACTGAATTCCGGACT